CTAAGGAGAAGTAGGGAAGGATGAATGAACTGGGAGTCACATTACGTGAAATGAAGAATGAGCAGTAAAACAGGAAGAACAGTGCTGAGCGGGAGTGGACCTCAACCCCTCTAACGAATTCTATCCTCCACCTATTAGTCCACTCCAGTAGGCTAGCGGTGGGACACTCCAGTAGGCTAGCGGTGGGACACTCCAGTAGGCTAGCGGTGGGACACTCCAGTAGGCTAGTGGTGGGACACTCCAGTAGGCTAGCTGTGGGGCACTCCAGTAGGCTACCTGTGGGACACTCCAGTAGGCTAGCTGTGGGACACTCCAGTAGGTTAGTTGTGGGACACTCCAGTAGGCTAGCTGTGGGACACTCCAGTAGGTTAGCTGTGGGAAACTCCAGTAGACTACCTGTGGGACACTCCAGTAGGCTAGCGGTGGGACACTCCAGTAGGCTAGCAGTGGGACACTCCAGTAGGCTAGCTGTGGGACACTCCAGTAGGCTAGCTGTGGGACACTCCAGTAGGCTAGCTGTGGAACACTCCAGTAGGTTAGTTGTGGGACACTCCAGTAGGCTAGCTATGGGATACTCAAGTAGGTTAGCTGTGGGACACTTCAGTAGGCTACCTGTGGGACACTCCAGTAGGCTAGCGGTGAGACACTCCAGTAGGCTAGCGGTGGGACACTCCAGTAGGCTAGCGGTGGGACACTCCAGTAGGTTAGCTGTGGGACACTCCAGTAGGCTACCTGTGGGACACTCCAGTAGGCTAGCGGTGGGACACTCCAGTAGGTTAGTTGTGGGACACTCCAGTAGGCTACCTGTGGGACACTCCAGTAGGCTAGCGGTGGGACACTCCAGTAGGCTAGCGGTGGGACACTCCAGTAGGCTAGCTGTGGGACCCTCCAGTAGGCTAGCTGTGGGACACTCCAGTAGGCTAGCTGTGGGACACTCCAGTAGGCTAGTTGTGGGACACTCCAGTAGGCTTGCGGTGTTACACTCCAGTAGGTTAGCTGTGGGACACTCCAGTAGGCTACCTGTGGGTCACTCCAGTAGGCTAGCGGTGGGACACTCCAGTAGGCTAGCGGTGGGACACTCCAGTAGGCTAGCGGTGGGACAATCCAGTAGGTTAGCTGTGGGACACTCCAGTAAGCTAGCGGTGGGACACTTCAGTAGGCTAGCGGTGGGACACTCCAGTAGGTTAGCGGTGGGACACTCCAGTAGGTTAGCTGTGGGACACTCCAGTAGGCTACCTGTGGGACACTTCAGTAGGCTAGCGGTGGGACACTCCAGTAGGTTAGTTGTGGGACACTCCAGTAGGTTAGCGGTGGGACACTCCAGTAGGCTAGCGGTGGGACACTCCAGTAGGCTAGCGGTGGGACACTCCAGTAGGCTAGTGGTGGGACACTCCAGTAGGCTAGCGGTGGGACACTCCAGTAGGCAAGCGGTGGGACACTCCAGTAGGCTAGCTGTGGGACACTCCAGTAGGCTAGCTGTGGGACACTCCAGTAGGCTAGCTGTGGGACATTCCAGCAGGTTAGTTGTGGGACACTCCAGTAGGCTAGCTGTGGGACACTCCAGTAGGCTAGTGGTGGGACACTCCAGTAGGCTAGCGGTGGGACACTCCAGTAGGCTAGCTGTGGGACACTCCAGTAGGTTAGCTGTGGGACACTCCAGTAGGTTACCTGTGGGACACTCCAGTAGGCTAGCGGTGGGACACTCCAGTAGGTTAGCTGTGGGACACTCCAGTAGGCTACCTGTGGGACACTCCAGTAGGCTAGCGGTGGGACACTCCGGTAGGCTAGCGGTGGGACACTCCAGTAGGTTAGATGAGGGACACTCCAGTAGGCTAGTGGTGGGACACTCCAGTAGGCTAGCTGTGGGACACTCCAGTAGGCTAGCTGTGGGACACTCCAGTAGGCTAGCGGAGGGACACTCCAGTAGGCTAGCTGTGGGACACTCCAGTAGGCTAGCGGTGGGACACTTCAGTAGGCTAGCGGTGCGACACCAGTAGGTTAGCTGTGGGACACTCCAGTAGGCTAGCTGTGGGACACTCCAATAGGCTAGCGGTGGGACACTCCAGTAGGCTAGCTGTGGAACACTCCAGTAGGCTAGCGGTGGGACACCAGTAGGTTAGCTGTGGGACACTCCAGTAGGCTAGCGGTGCGACACCAGTAGGTTAGCTGTGGGACACTCCAGTAGGCTAGCTGTGCGACACCAGTAGGTTAGCTCTGGGACACTCCAGTAGGCTAGCGGTGCGACACCAGTAGGTTAGCTGTGGGACACTCCAGTAGGCTAGCGGTGGGACACTCCAGTAGGCTAGCTGTGGGACACTCCAGTAGGCTAGCGGTGGACACTCCAGTAGCTAGCGGTTGCGACACCAGAGGTTAGCTGTGGGACACTCCAGTAGGCTAGCGGTGGGACACTCCAGTAGGCTAGCGGTGCGACACCAGTAGGTTAGCTGTGGGACACTCCAGTAGGCTAGCGGTGGGACACTCCAGTAGGCTAGCTGTGGGACACTCCAGTAGGCTAGCGGTGGGACACTCCAGTAGGCTAGCGGTGCGACACCAGTAGGTTAGCTGTGGGACTCTCCAGTAGGCTAGCGGTGGGACACTCCAGTAGGCTAGCGGTGCGACACCAGTAGGTTAGCTGTGGGACACTCCAGTAGGCTAGCGGTGGGACACTCCAGTAGGCTAGCGGTGCGACACCAGTAGGTTAGCTGTGGGACAATCCAGTAGGCTAGCGGTGGGACACTCCAGTAGGCTAGCGGTGCGACACCAGTAGGCTAGCTGTGGGACACTCCAGTAGGCTAGCGGTGGGACACTCCAGTAGGCTAGCTGTGGAACACTCCAGTAGGCTAGCGGTGGGACACTCCAGTAGGTTAGCTGTGGGACACTCCAGTAGGCTAGCGGTGGGACGATGCTGTTTCCCTCACCTAGTCTAGTTCCTCAGCAACCTCAAGTCACTGTTTCTCCTGCGCACACTACACTTTTAACTTTGTTGTAATGTATTACTAAAATAAAAAAACTAGCGCTAAACCTACAAGGGTCAAACAGTGCAGTGTTGTAATAATGACGGTCTAGAAGCTAGGAATGCTAAGCTTAATTCTCTATGTAATGCATGCATAGGTCAAAATGAGACAAAAGCCACCATTCTAATCTCAGACTACACCAGACATATGTTTACACTGTACTAAGGTACGGCAGGAGAACAATAAATGTACCTTTTGTAAAATGTGTAAAGGGTGGGTGCATAATGGATGTGTGTTCGATTATGGTAATGATGCTTGATTTCATTTTTTTTTGTTTGTACTAAATGCACTTTGGCACAGTTACCCTTCAGCAATGATGACATTGAATTACCTAATTTTAATATAAACGACCCCTTGCCATATATTGACGATTATGACTGTATTATGCAATCAGGCCTTCACTTTGTTCAGGTCAACGCTAGATAACTTTTTCCAAAATTGGCAGAGCTTAGGATTCTGGCTAACAAAACTAGAGTGGCAGTTATATCCATGTCTGAATCCTGGTTGGATGATACGGTGATTGACAACGAGGTCAAAATAGAAGGTTACAATACAATACGCATAGACAGGAACAGAAAAGGTGGTGGGGTATGTGCCTCCATAAGAAATGACTTAGCCTACAACCCAAGACCTGATTTACTCTACAACCAAAGATCTGATTTAACTGACAATAAACTGGAGATTCTACGGTTTGAAGTGTTGCTTTTCAAGACCAAACCCATCATAGTAGGAACTAGTTACCGCTCTCCCACCCATGACCAGTTCTTAGAAGACTTCTCGAGAGTCTTCTCCGGACTTGATAACAATTGCGAGACAGTAATACTGGGAGACTTCAATATCTGTTCTCAACAGTAAAAGAACGGGCGATGCAAAAAATATAAGCGAATTCTAGGTTTAAATAGTTACACTCAACTAATTAATACACCAACCCGGATCACACAGTTCTCAGCCACCATAATTGACCATACTTTGTAACCGCTCTGAGAACATTAGTCAGTCAGGCGTTATTACCACAGGCCTTAGTGGTCATTTCATCATTTACTGCATCAGGAAAATCAAAAGGGATAGGATAGACCTACACAGGACAATAAAAATGAGGTCAACTAGAAACTATAGAAAAGAAACACTGGTAAATAGGCTATACAATTGTGACTGGACAGAGATAACAAGTTGCAGGGAAGTAAACGATGCCTGGGAAAAATTTAAAACAATGTTCACCGCTGTCCTTGATAATATTGCAAAAGTTAAAGAAGTTAGGATTAAACGGAGAACCGAACCTTGGATGACTACTGAGATATACTGAGATAGTGACCTACGTCTCACCTCTTGGCGCTATATAAGGCTCCATCCTGCCACTTCATCTTCATATTGTTTCATACTATGGAACAATGCTCTTCTCCAGACTGAGGGACTGACCACCTCAAAACTTTAAGGGTGATGGACTGATTACATCGTCTTCAAGTATCTTCTGCTTCTATCAACTTTTCTGTACTCGACTGACGAAGCCTACTGTGTAGGCGAAACGTTTCGAAATAAAGATACCTAACTGTTGCATATGTGTCTTACCTAACAACCTGTCGGTATTTTATACCATTTTAATGTTCATACTGATACTGTTGTAGTGCTGCTGGCTTATGTTTACCCATGATCGAGTCTGTTAACATGTCATTGACGACACAGGAACAAAAACTGTTCTCCAGCATTGTATGGGATATTTTTTTTTTTTTTTGTAAATACATGCACTGAGACGCATTTTACGATTATGCTAACATTGATAAAGTCGGTAAAGTAATGTTAGGAAAATATATTCAGACAACACTTCGCCGGCACAACAGATTCTTTCCTAAATATTTGAGAAAAGTCTGCAGAGCAGGAAAATTAATGATTAAATATCTTAACTATTTAGACAAAAGTTATTGGGGATCAGGGAAATAGTTTCAAACAGTAAGTGAAAATGGCAAGTAATTATATAAAATTTAATTTCAGGATGGATACTGTGGTGTGGTTGTTTGTGGTTGGACTTGTGTTGGCTGCTTGGTCATACTCCCGCTGGCGCCACAACCACTGGTCAACCCTTGGAGTTCCTACGCCTCCATATCTACCATTCCTCGGGCACATACACAAACAGTTATCATTATTCCAGACTCGATGGGAATATTTGGACGAGGTTGGTAATCTTCAATTGATGATCTTTATAAAGTTAAAATACTGTAAATGATATTCTGTTTCGACAAAAATATGACTTTTCTGTATATATTTTAATCATGTCTCTATATATAATTCATGTTAATATGTAAATAATTTAAGACCCTCAGAGAGTATTTTAAAGGACAATTTCTCTTCACGACAACAACATCTAGAACAATAAATTATTACAGATGAAAATAAGCAAGTTCATTGACAAGAATCAAAATATATTAATATAAAATATAAAACAATCAAACATGAAATGTTCTTAAGTGAAACAATAATGAAAAATAAAATAAATAAATAAATTTCGTGAGACGAAGCTAATACATACAGCGGACAGATGATATTGTGATGTGTCGGTGGTTGTGAAAAGTAGCTGACAGGATTTACCAGGAGTGAACGAGATTCCGGTGTGAGACCAGGTAGTCACTGGTGGACGTGATTGGTATAAACTTAGCCCAGCACTGAGTACTACTGCCAACAGTTGTTAAACTGGCGGAGTAATCGACGGAAGTTTTTTGTGGTGTTTTAGACCACAGATAAACACTTGCAAAGGTAAAGTGATACATTGCTGTGTTCAATAAAAGATGAGGTAGAGTTTCCGATATATAGCCTAGATTCAGCTGTCCGACTTGTCTCGCCAGTGTCTTGTGACCCAATCCCATCAGCAAGAAGGCTTGATGGGAGCAGAAAGTCAAGTAACATCATTTCGTCAGCAGGGTCTCATGTTAACTCCCACTGGATGGGGAAAGTGGGAGGGGATTAAAGTTAACGATACACACCCCTTCAAGCATTCAACCAATTACACTACCACTCCACTTATTCATGCTTCCACTCCTATCTACCGAACTTTTCCCTCACAATTACATTACTAAGAATCGAGAGTATGGCAGTGAATACAGTCACATTTTAATAACTTTACATGTTTACAGGTGTACTACAAGTATGGTGGCTCGACATTCTGTGGAATGTATGAAATATTTCGTCCAGTTTTGATGATTGGCGATCCTGACCTTCTCAAAAACATTCTAGTTAAAGACTTTGATCATTTTATTGACCGTCGGAAGTTTCCGGCTACAGAAGGAAGCCTTACCAACCAAATGCTTGCTAACAAGTCAGGAGATGAGTGGAGGGCTCTTCGGGCAGTCGTGACTCCAACCTTTACCTCCGGCAAGATGCGTGGGATGTTCCCTCTCATCAGTGACAAGGCTGATGATCTTGTTTCTTTTACTCTTAAAGAAGCTGCTAAGAAACCTTATGTTGATATGAAGGTAAATTCTGGACGATTCACAATGGACACAATTGCTTCCTGTGCTTTTGGTATTGAATGCAATTCCTTTAGAAATGAGGAAACAGAATTTACCAAATGGGCAGAAACATTATTTGCTCCTTCGTTGATTACAACCTTAAAATTTACTCTTATACATATTTCCCCAAGGATCTTTAACGCTCTCAGACTAACATTAGAAACTTCAGCAAAGACATTTTTCCAAAACGTGGTGGAGCAGACAATAGCGGTCAGGAAAAATGGTCAAAGACGTGGAGATTACTTGGATCTCCTCCTGGATGCGCGAGCAAACCATGACCAACACACCACTAAGTCAACTTCCATCAAGTCCAACACTACACGTGAGACTTCCACTACTGACAACCTCTCTGGCATTGACAGTTTATGCGTCATCCCCTCTAAGCAAGGTCAGTGCTGATATCCATTTTAATTTAAAACTTGTAATAATATTTCATTCGTGTAAAGCAATATTTCCGTGAAAGATATAATACAGTAGAGGACTAATACGTTATGGTCATACTCCTTTTATTTTCCTAATGATCAAGAATTTCTTTCTGAAAGAGGAAACTATAGTTGAGGATTTCTTATCATATAGTAAAACTGCGAGTGGATCAATATTATTAAAAATTTTATCACAGTCAAAGATATGAATAACACTGAGAGTTGTAGAATAAACTAGGCATGTGACAAAGTATCGGTATTGGCTGGTATCGGTCACTTTCAAAGTATCAGAACTCGGTATCGTGTAGACAATAGGCCTAATGTCTAGTTACCATAGTTCTCTCTTAGAGTGAGTTGTTGTGGGCCTAGTTATCTGAGTGCCTACCAGAGGGCACAGCCTCAAGTTAGACATACTCAGCCATGTCTCGCTCTCACTCCTAGACCTGCGGCTTTCCAGTTAATATCAAGGAGCCGCTCTGTGGTTCTATTGTAATAATATCGGCCCCATGCAGCACGTATCCATCTCACTACACGAACACAAGGAGACCATTCAGGCACGTACTTCTGATAGTGCCTATTCGAGGTTTGAGGGATTGTATGTAAAGCAGCGTTTAAAACTGAGGTCGAAAAGAATTGTAATAACTCAGTAGAAGAGGTCAAAGAGAAAGGTTCCTCGCTAAAAATAGTTAAGGGTCCAATTCGCCGTTCAAACTGCCAACGAGGGCTATGAGGAGAGCGAGAATATGAACGGGAAGTAAGGATCTGAAAATGATCGCTCTCATGTAAATCTAGGAACACAGGCCACATAAAGTCGAGTACAATATAAGAGGAGTAAATTGAGAGATCTATGCAAGAGACAGTTTGATTGCGAGGGACAAAATGGGTGGGATTACCTGTATTTAAAACACTAAGAGGAAGAGAAGTGAGAAGATCCTCCAACTGACCGCTACGAGAGTCACAGTGTGACCGTCCCCCAGAGTAAATGATGAGCATTAAAATAACCTTATTAGAAGAGAGGTGGAAGTGGAGAAGAAACCAGAAATCCAGAATCAGCAATAGAAAATGGTCGAGAAGGAGAAAGATACAAAGAGCAGACTGTATACTACTTGTGTACGAATGGTATATAATACCGACAAGTTGAGATTAAGACACATGTGCAACATCTGGGTATCTTTATTGTAGACGTTTCGCCATCCAGTGGCTTTATCAATACAAATTCTAGAACATAACTTGAAGACAGTATAACTATGTACAGAAGATGAGGTAATCAGTCCCTCAACCTAGGAGTAGGTGCGAAGAGCACCAGATGTTGCACATGTGTCTGTATGCTACTTGTTCAAGTAGATACGGGCTGCAGTGTAATACAGCGAAGTATAAACAAAGATCTAAGTGATAAATTAGACACATGTGCAACTCTTGGGTATCTTTATTGAGGAAACGTTTCGCCACACAGTGGCTTCATCAGTCCATACGTAGGAGAAACTTGAAGAACAGGAGGAGAATCTTGAATAGAATGTATTCTATTCAAGATTGATGGACTGAACACATCGACTCAAGGTTGAGGGACTGATTACCTCATTCTCCTCCTGTTCTTCAAGTTTTATTCCACACTGACAGGGTCAACAGGAAAGGTGGTGGAGTAGCGATGTATGTCAGAGACAATTTAAATTGTTGTGTTAGACAAGATATTAAATTAGAAGCGTTAGCCACTGAATCTGTTTGGTTACAGCTTCTCGAGGGCCGAGAAAAACTAATTTTGGGTGTGATTTACAGGGCCCCAAATCTTGATAGGGAGTGCAGTAAACTTCTATGGGACGAAATTCGTAAGGCATCTACATACGAAAATGTTGTGCTAATGGGAGATTTCAACTATAGACAGATTGACTGGAGCAATTTGACAGGAAATTTAGAGTCAGGTGACTTTCTTGATACGATCCAGGATTGTTTTTTAAAACAGTTTGGGGACAGAGCCAACTAGGGGAAATAACCCCCTTGACTTGGTTCTTGCCAGTAGGGAAACCAAAATTAATAATCTTGGGGTTTAATGATGAGCTTGGGGAAAGTGATCACAATCACTCAGTTTTAAATATCATGGAATTCCCCTAATAATGGCAATCAAGTTCCGTCCCTGACTTTCGCTTGGCTGACTTCATAGGACTGAAAAATTACTTAGGTGGGCTGAACTGGAATGACCTGATAAGGGTCAGGTAGGTGGTGATGGTTGCCGATATGATGCTTTCCAGGGCATAGTTCAAAGCTGCTCAGTCAAATTATGTTCCAAATAGGGAAATCAGTCAACCAAAAATGATCCTAATGGATGAACAATAGATTAAAAATATCTGATTGGTCAAAAGAGAGGCAATATAGGCAAATCAAAAGAGGAGAGGGCAATTGAGAAATCGATCGATATATTCAGTTAAAGAGAGAAATAAAAAAGGGAATTAAAAAAGCAAAAAGAGATTATGAGGTTATTAAAGTTGAAAGAGAATCGAAGACTAACCCAAAAGGATTCTTTCGGGTATACAGAAGTAAGATCAGGGACAAGATAGGCCCACTCAAAAGTTCCTCGGGTCAGCTCACTGACAGTTATAAGGAAATGTGTAGAATTTTTAACACATACTTCCTCTCGGATTTTCCCACAGGAGGATACCAGCGATATTCCAGTAATGATAAATTATGTAGAACAGGACGATAATAAACTGTGCACTATTAGGGTCACAAGTGACATGGTCCTTAGGCAAATAGATAAATTAAAACCTAACAAATCCCCGCCCGATGAACTGTATGGGAAGGGTTCTAAAAGGGAATGTAAAGAGGAGCTTGCACACCTTTGGCTAATCTTTTAACATATCACTACAAACTGGCATGGTGCCAGATAAGTGGAAAATGGCAAATGTGATACCTATTTTCAAAACAGGTGACAGGTAATTAGCTTCGGGAACTATGACCAATAAGCCTAACCTCCATAGTGGGAAAATTTATGGAATCAATAATTGCCGAGGCAGTTCGTAGCCACCTTGAAAAGCATAAATTAATCAACGAATCTCAGCATGGTTTTACAAAGGGGCGTTCCTCCCTTACGAATTTATTAACTTTTTTTCACTAAGGTATTTGAGGAGGTAGATCATGGTATGAATATGATATTGTGTATATTTGGGCTTCAGTAAGGTTTTGACAGGGTCCCCAACATCAGAGACTATTGAGGAAAATTAAAGCATAAGGAATAGGAGGAGAATTTTTTTCCTGGAGAGAGGCATGGTTGACAAATGGCAGCAGAGAGTTTGCATAAATGGGGAGAAATCAGAGTGGGAAGCGTCACGAGCGGGGTTCCACAGGGTCAGTGTTGGGCCCCTGCTTTCACAATCTACATAAACGACATAGATGAGGGCATAAAGAGCGACATCGGCAAGTTTGCCGATGACACCAAAATAGGCCGTCGAATTCATTCTGACGAGGACATTCGAGCACTCCAGGAAGATTTGAATAGACTGATGCAGTGGTCGGAGAAGTGGCAGATGCAGTTTAATATAGACAATGCAAAGTTCTAAATGTTGGACAGACAATAACCATGCCACATATAAAACTAAATAATGTAGATCTTAATATTACGGGTTGCGAAAAAGATTTAGGAGTTCTGGGGTTTGCATAATCTGAAACCAAGACAACAGTGCATAAGTGTTCGCAAAAAAGCTAAAAAGAATCCTTGGCTTCATATCAAGAAGCATAAATAATAGAGTCCTCAGGGTTTTTTCTTCAACTCTTACATCCTTGGGTTTGGCCTCATTTGATTATGCGCCCCAGTTTTGGTCACCGTATTACAGAATGGATATAAATTCTCTGGAAAATGTACAAAGGAGGATGCAAAGTTGATCCCATGTATCAGAAACCTTCCCATGAGGATAGACTAAGGGCCCTGAAACTGCAAATCTCTAGAAAGACGTAGAATTAGGGGGGATATGATTGAGGTGTATAAATGGAAGACAGGAATAAATAAAGGGGATGTAAATAGTGTGCTGAAAATATCTAGCCTAGACAGGACTCGCAGCAATGGTTTTAAGTTGGAAAAATTCAGATTCAGGAAGGATATAGGGAAAATACTGGTTTGGTAATAGAGTTGTGGATGAGTGGAACAAACTCCCAAATACCGTTATAGAGGCCAGAAAGTTGTGTAGCTTTAAAAATAGGTTGGATAAATGCATGAGTAGATGTGGGTGGGTGTGAGTTAGACCTGATAGCTTGTGCTACCAGGTCGGTTGCCGTGTTCCTCCCTTAAGTCAATGTGACCTGACCTGACTAGGTTGGGTGCATTGGCTTAAGCCGGTAGGAGACTGGGCCTGCCTTGCATGGGCCAGTAGGCCTTCTGCAGTGTTCCTTCGTTCTTATGTTCTTATGTTCTTAAATACAAACACATATGCAGTATAATGTGATCCTTTATTGACAACGTTTCACCCACACAGTGGGCTTTTTCAAATCACACACAGATCTACCTGGGGTGAACGAACGAAAGTTCAGGTAAGATCCCAAATGGGATGAGCGGGGAAGACGGGACAGACGAAGAATAGTGCTGGAGAGGAGTGTTCTTAGTCGTAGAAATAGAGCCAGGGCTTAACCCAGCAGCAAAAGGGGATCGTGGGACAGATATTGAAAAGAGAAATTCCGGTTTTTCTTTTGGGACTCCGGTGGGGTGAGCTGGGAGTAAGGGACTTGCGACCTTTAGAGCTAGAGAGGAGTGCAGAACTGAGTCATGTCTTAACCCAAAAAAAACTAAGGCGAACGTGGGTCAGAGAATGGTACCTGTCTTAGAAGGGACCTGTCAGCGGAATCCAAGGTTATTTGTAAGTAGGGTTAGGAGCAGGATCATGCAAGGAGTAGAAAAGGTTGTGTTTGGGTTTTTGGGTCTGCGAATGTCTTCGTCAAGGAGAGAGGTCCAGTAGTCATGTCGTGTCTCAAGTTTGTCTATCTGTCT